TTTTTTTTTTTTTTTTTGTGTAGGTCTTAAAAAATATCACTGACTGACCGTTTCAACAGTTTTTGACACTAACTAACAAAGCCATTACAAATAGAGTGGTGAATGGTGTGAGAAATAAAAGCGCCAAAAAACAAACTGGAACCATCTTATTTCAAGCACGATTTATAACAAATTCTTGGGTAATAGATCTGGTGATGAATGCCAGTAAGTTTCCCTTAAAGATTAACAGTAACGGATGTTAATGATATGCAGTTCTGCGGAATTTTCTATTTTAAATTTTTAGGAATTGATCGGCAAAAACTTTTTGAAAATAGTTGCAATTATCCCAGTCCTATTTTCCTTTCCTTAAAAAAATTTTTCAACCAGTATTGGTTAGTTAGAATTTTTGAGACGTTAAAAAAATTGTACTGACGTCCAAAAATTCTTTGAATTACATCAACAATTAATGTAGTGGATACGTACAGAGGAAGAGGATGGAGAAGAGATAACGAGAGAGGAAGAGAAATTAGTGAACAAAAAAAAAGTTAAATGAGCCGAAGATATTTGGAGCTGCAAAGCATTAACAACTGTACACCAGAAATGAGATGATGAAGTGGATAAAGAAACACAAAGAAGTAAAAGCAAAAAACTTTTTTGCACTGATTATGTGGAGCCAACTTGGCCGACATCATCAACGACATCGCCAACAACAACACCAACATCAGCGACAGTATAGGTGGTAAATCAGCAGCACCAGTGGCAGCAGCATCAGCAGCAGCAACAGCAGCATTGGCAGCAGCATCAACATCAGTACCACTATCATCACCACCACAATTACCAACACCAGTAGCAAACGGCATCAACAACAATAACAGCAGCAACAACAAAAACAACAATAAACAGCGCCAGCGGTTGCAGGCCATCGATGTGATAAAGGCAATAAGCGTTGCTTCTGGCGAAACCGACCTCAGTCATCCACTGTGTTCAGCTGCTCTTTGCTACGCTGCATTTTGCTCAGCGGGGACGAGCCTGATGTATTTGTATCGGCAGCCAAACCTGTAGACGCCTAATTATTCCAATAATTCAATATTGATCAACAAAATTATTTTATCAACTGTCGATTTGCGAGAGCAGCAACAATTTGCATATCGTTTTAGAAAGGTAACCACAAAATTTTTTGTCGCATATGTTTTTGTCATTAATACATTTTTTATTGCCAGTACTGTTATTGAAAAGTTTTTGACTACACTACAGTTCACTTACTACAGTTCATTTATTCCTACCTGCCTTTCATTATCTTGTTTCTTCGTCTATTTAATAAATGCTTCTGTAGCTATAATTGTTGCACTAAAGACAAAAAGAAAAGTTCATAGTACTTTGAGGCATAAGGCGTGAGAACGGGGATAGAAAAATTTACTGTAAATTGATGTTGATGTACTTCATAATGTAGTCCGTAGGGGTTCTTCTTCGAAACTGGTGAAAAATCTCCAAATTTAATCTTCACTTTTATCATTCTTAAAATAACATGATGTCAAAATATCTGGAGTAAGAAGGTATTCAAGTTTAGGTTTCTTAATTATCAAATTTATTGTACGCTACTGTAACATATTTTCGGTTCTGAATGTCGAGGTAATTGGTTGTAAGGGCAAAAGGGCTGGCGAAAAAAATTTCATTGTTTAACTTTTAGAAACGTGTTTCTAGTGCAGTTTCAGCTTAAAATTACTTGCGTAGGCAAAAAGATCTGACTTCAAGATGTTTAACAATTAAGCCAAAAAATTATTCTTTGGCGGCAGCAAACAACGAAAAATCAACAAAAAAAAACTATAAGAAATATGTTTAATTCATAAAACCATTGAAGAAAACTTAAAATTCTTTGTTCTGCAACACATTCTGAACAATTTAGAAACGGTTTTCTACGATCCATATTTATCTGGCCAAACTTTGCCGAATTTTAGCCCTCATTTATTCAATTTCTCCAGTAATAAATTAAAAAGTTAATGAGTCATCAACTTTTCAGTTTGTTTGAAAAAAAAGGCAAGAAATAAAAACTTATCAACCACTATATAATATCGTCAATAAAAATAGTTTCAAACCTACAAGAAGCTTCTTTATTGCTGTAACGCTGACTTATAAACAAGAAATAATTGTGAAGAGTGCTATGAGCAGAAGTTTGAGCATTTTTTTCTTTTGATATGTTAAAGAAGTTTGGAAACTTTCACTTATTTTATCGTAATCCTTAAGTTGCTACAAATGCCAATCTTTTGTTTTTTTTTTTCTTTTGCACTGTGATGAAATCTATTTTTTATGCAGTACCTGTCTTCCGAGAATAATATTTCTAAAGTAGATTAATTTTCACGTATTTTTAGTCTTTTGCACTCCCTTTCCTTCATTTTCTATTCCTTTTCAAAAAAAGAAACTATTCAGCAACAATATTGACAACACAAATAAACACCCTATATTATTTAGAAGTTATTTGGGAATGTAAAGAGAAGAATAAAAAAAAACTATCAGAATCATAGCGTACTGTTAATGAAGCTAACAGTAGGATATAGTTGTGTAGTTATCAGAACACTATCCTCTGATTTGCTGAAATTAGCTGGCAGACCAATGCTTATGACTTATAAAGTCTGCTGAATGCAGTTTTTACTGATAATATTTGAAAAAGTTAGGTATGGGACTTCTGTTTGCTGGAGCTTTACTTCTGAACTTTCACAAGTTGCTGATTATACTGTTTTACAACTTTTCTAAATATTTCAGTTGTTAGTTCTTGGATGAGATTACATTCGCTCACATTCAATTGGTCTTATTAAAGTCTATCTATATAAGATGAACTAAAGTAAAGTGTTATGCAAATGTAATAAAATTAAGCTGTATTTTACTACTAACGGAAAAAGGGCAACAAAATTTTGTTTCATGTTTTATTAATATCAACATCTCCTTGGTTATAAAAAATTGTCAAAAAATTGTCAAGAAAAAAACTAAATAATTTAAAAATAATTTTCTCATTATTGCCAAACAAAATCAACAACTGCAACAATAGTCAGAACCTCTGCATTCAAAATAATACTCTCTCGATTTATTTGTCTGGTTGTCAAAAGGTCTTTATTATTCTAATTTTGTAGTTCAAACTGCAATCATTTGATATGCCTTCCTTAAAGTACATCAATAGAAGCAGTAACTTTTCTTTCAAATTATTAATTTACAAAATTATTCGTAGTTTAGTGGAATTGGTAAAAAAAGTTATTATCACAGGGTCTACATCCTTTATAGCTTTGTCTTTCAGAGTTCCTCTTCATTCACAGGCTGAATATTACATTAAAATAATAAAATAAAAAATTGAATTTAGACACTGAGATTAGGCTGAATCTAACTTTCAATTTAGTACTGTCAAGGCAAAATATACCGTCTTTATTTTCCTTCTACTGTCAACATGCAATTGGTTTTTGCGATTTATGTACGGTATCTCTTTCTATTCGTGATCAGTTTCAAACCACAAACATGTAAGATATGCTTTGCCTGGTTATTTAGACTTAACTGAATGATTTGAAAAGGGAGGGAGCTTTTCAAAAAAACGAAGCCTAGAATTAAGTCAGAACGAATTAGTAGAGGCAATGCACTGTTGAAGAAATCACGGCAGTTTCTGCTACTACAAATTTTAAATGAGACAACATAAAACGGAAAAACTATATTGAAAACATGTTTTAAGACAGACTTTTGATTTTCTAATGCCTTTTAAAAGTGAACAATTGAAATCCGAAGTTTTTCTGACCCATGTTCTGATGAATATTTTTTGCGAAGATGCACATTAAATGTTAAATACTCTTGTTAAAGAACTTACTTCTTTTTTTTAATTAGCAACGTTAAGTTATCAAGCACGTTCCAGGCCATCTGCTGATTCAGATTAAGAAAAAAATATTCTTTTTTGCTTGACTGGTCCTATCGACAAAGTATGAAAAGTACGTAAAATAGTCACGAATTTTGTAGATACTGCTTTCATAATTTTCAGTCTGCTTCATCCGTATCGTCAGATCCAGATGCTTCTTCTCCTTTTCATTTTTTTTATCTTTTTTATCTTTTTTTTCTATCAACTTACATTCTTCGTTTTTCTTCTCTACTATTTGCAATGTAGCAGACATTAAATTCTTATATTTTAGAAAAATGATTTTTCAACAGTAAGTTTTATGCAGTTTAACTAGGTTAGGGGGAAGGTTAAAGGATAGAATAGTCTTTTAGACAGCTGGAGAAGTTTTCATGATTAGTTATACTTTTGTCAGAATATCGCTGTAGTCAAATTCCCGTTTTCTTGCTATGGAGTATCTATTTGATAAAATCCTGCATTATACTACTCATTAACAGTCACTATCTATTTATTATTTTTTTAAAATTTAATTGAATTCATTTTTTTTGTCGAAATCAAAATAAACAAAAATTTAAGTGGAATGGCATACAACATTATTTCCAATTTTTTATACGGTGAAATTACTTTTACAGTAACGACCGAAGAGCGCTCTGAGTGCTCACGAACGACAAGCAAACGAAGCTTTTGAGTATTCAAAATTACTCAACAACTTGGAGATCTCGAACACAGGTAGTGATTCTTCTGAGACAGTACTAGAGATGTTGCAAATATTCTTTAACTGCCATTGAAACTTTTTTTAAAATTACACTAAGGAAGTTTTGAATAGAAGGATCCAACATTATTTCACTTCTCTTGCCAATATCACAAAAGAAATTTGAAGAAGGGCTGAATGATAACGAAATAATGGGAAATAAACTCAGTAATCATCGTTCTTATGCTGTTGTATTATGCTGGAATAACATTTTTAAAGCCATACCGTCATGATTTTTAGGCCAATTTTCTAGCAGCACTTTTGAAAAAAATAGTGAAAAGTAATCTTTTTCTGCTGCTTTTTTCTGTAGTTTGTTAGTATATACAGCAGTTTAAAAGATTTTTCAAACGCAGCTTTTTGATGAGCATTTTCATTGTTACGCGAATTACAGTATGGAAATTGAAGAGGATGAAGAACAGTGGACAAAAGTGAAAATGATAAAGTCAAGTGGAAGTTTCAAACCAATGCTTAAGTTACAGGTCGGAGAGACTACTTCATATGCAACAAGTAGGTTAAAACTTTACTACAATTATTTCATACCACGTTAGTTCTAACGACAATGATGCAGAACGTGTCAGTACATTTTAATATCAATTGATGAATGTTAGAATTCTTGGGAAAACTAATGAACACAAGTCTATTTGAAAGATTTCCTAATTATATGTTATAAAGCATTTTTAGATCGAGAAAGCGTGATTCACAGAAATGTTGAGACTTTGGAGGAAACACATCTGATCAGGAGCCGAGGAGTGGGTACGGACGCTTACTCTGAGGAACATTCTTCTTCTGAAATCAAATCTTATACGGTAGCGCAACCACCAAAATTTGTTCAGGTAATATATAGTTCCGTACTTTAATACCTTTCAGTTTTTTTTCCTCTTTAAACTCTAAGTTTATTTAAATATTTATTACTTTTTCATTAAAAAGAAAGACAGTTTTTCTTTTATAGTACTTGTCAATCCAACTTCACAGCGATTTGAAATCCTTAATTCCAATTTTTTCTTTTTGCCTTCTAGCGCCTACAGTGTGATGTTCCACTAGTTTTTTTTGTAGGTGATTAAAGCTTTTCGAGTTTTGGCGACCGACACTTTGACACTAGTTGTTGAAGTGGTCAGCAATCCGCCAGCAATCTTTGAATGGTACTGTAATGACAAACCAGTTAAGCAAGATCGTCGGCGATTTAAAGTAAGTCATCATATTTCCAAAACTTTGCCACAACTTTTATTTAACTCTTAGTCGACTTTACCATTTAAGTGTTGGAAAGCGTGATACGTGCGAAGAAAAAGATTTCTGGACCCTTATTTGTTGTATTAATAGACCATTCGCATATTTAAAAGTTAAGTAGGCGTAAGCGATTAACACAGAAAATAAAAAAAGACTTTTACAGATTCGGCATGGAGTCAACATCACAACACTAACTGTTGAGTGCCCCGAACAAGGTGTATACAAGTGTACCGCAACTAACCCAGCGGGTATTTCAACAACATACGGTTATGTTACTGTAAGCGGTAAGCATTAAGGCGTACGGTTTTTGAAAAAAATGGCGTCTTCTTTTCTAATGTCAAAAAGACTAAAAAATTATACTGAAGCAATATACTTTCTGAAACTATGTTGAAGAATTATTAATGAAAATTTTTCACAAAAAAATATATCCTAATTTTTTTAGAACCACCGCGGTACAAAACTTGGGCGGAGCAGAACTCATCATTGGTGACAGAAGAAGAAGAAGCTATTATTGAGGAGGGAATAGGTTGGAGACAGTCAAAATAAAACTATCACATTTAATTACTTTCGCAAAAATTTTTAAAGCTCAAAAATTTGGCAGATAGTTGCTCTTAAGCGATAAGATCTGCCTGGAATTCTAGAAATACTGTTTCATGAAATTTTCCAAAAATCTTTTCTTGCAGAAATTGTAAAAGTCGATATGCCGCCAAAATTTACAACCCAGATCCCGAATTTAACCCTGAAGCCCGGCATAGAAGCAGTTATTGACGTCGAGGTTAAAGCATCACCACCTGCCAGGTAGGTTCTTGTAGAGAGTAAACATAAGATCACTTTTTAGCCTTAGTCGATAGTAACTAACTGCAAAAAATTACAGTTTTAAATGGTTTGTCAATGGCATCGCCGTACGAGAAGCAGCGGAAAACTTTGAAACCTACTACCCGAGCGTGAACAGGTGTGTCGCCAGGTTTCCGTTTCCACAAAGTGGTGAATACATGGTTGTCGCCGAAAACTCTCGTGGCCGTGACGAAAGCATTGGCTACATAAAAATTATTCGAGGTAAATTCCTTGCTCATGCGGAATTGTTGTCTTTTAAAGAGAGTTTCAGTTCCTGTAAAAAATTTTATCAGCCTTGGTAAAACTCAATCAAAACAATTATTTTTTGAATGGGTGGTCGTTACAGAAGTTGCCGATTACCTTCGACCCCCGATCCCTAGAGAAAGCAATCGTCAACACTTTCAATCTAACGACTCTTTACATCGCAAAGGTGAAAAATTAGATTATATTTTACCCAGGGATATTGAGGATCCTGTTGTCGTAAACTTCCTTCTAGTGCAAAAAAATCATTATTTTCAGTTCAAGTGCAAAATACTTCGGAAGAGAGATTTGGACCAACTGGACGGGCATCGTCAGTTACAAAATACGTGGATTTTTATGAGGAAAGTACTTATTATCAGCGGTCTTCCAGTTTACCTCGTTCGTTACGGCGAGATAAGCCTTACGAGGTAACCCAGGAAAGAAGAGTGGTGAAACAGAGTACTCATGGAAACTTAGGTAACTTTGTTTTCAAAGCCAACTTTTATTGGGTCTAGAGAGAGTAAATTAATCTAATTCTCGTTACTATTTGATTTTAGGGCAACCTATGCTTCTCCACTCTTCGTTGAAAGAACTGCATCGTTCTAACATTAAAGAGACAAATGAACATGACCTTTATCGGACTCAAAGCGAAAACCTACGTTATGTACCTAAAAAGCCAGTTTTCTTGAACTCTCTTCCGCAAGAAATAGTTCTCAGTTCAAAAGAAAAACTTGTTTTAAGCGCTGACGTTGAAGCCCTCCCACAAGCCGAAATTAAGTGGAATTTTAATGGGTTTGAAATCAAGTCTTCAAAGACAACGTCAGTTCTTAATGAACGTAATCATTCAACACTTGTCATACTACCCCCGGTTAGAGAAGGCGATTATACAGTCAGTGCAACAAATGATATTGGAATGGCCATTATGAGGACAAAGGTGGTGCGCGTCAAAGAAATCCAGAGTGAGATTACCACAAAAGGTTTTACGAGTGTTATTCCACAACAGGTGATCAAATCTCCTGAAATGACGAGAAACTCAGTAACAGTAACAACTGCTGAGGACGAATGGCTTATCGTGAACGACGAGGACGTTTATCGTTCTTCAACGGAGTCATTTGAGACGGTGAGGGAGGCAGCACCTAAAGAGCGGACGCATGAAACATACAGTGAAAAGCAAGTTACACAACGTTGGGAGCAGAAGAAAAATGTTGAGTACGTCAAAGGACCAACGACACGAGTTGGGGCTCCTTTACCAAAAATACCAGAAGTTCTTGAATACCCAAAAAAAGAAATTCGTCTAGGGGAAGGTGAATCACTCCAGCTGCACGCAAAAGTTGATGCGCACCCACCCGTGACCTTCCAGTGGTTCTATAACAATTTTGAGTTAAAACCTTCTCGCCAAGTAATTATTGAACAGCCGTTGCGTAATGAAACAAAGCTGATTGTCACTCAACCAGCTAGCGGATATTACAAGATGGTTGCATCCAATTCGCTGGGCAGTTGTTCAACAACAACACGTGTGGTTACAACAACAGTTGAGGAACTAAACACAGAGACAACACGGTATGTCATTTCACAAAAAACTGAACGGGATCAGCAGCCGAAATATACACTGGTGCGTAAAGGCCCTACAGAACTAAGGCAAGACCTACCAAGTGCACCAAAAATAACTGAGAAGTTACCGCCAGTCATTAAGGTGGCCGAAGAAACACCATTAGTTTTGGAAGTAACTGCACAAGGAGTGCCCGAACCCAAATTTACTTGGCTTTTTAACAATTTTGAACTCAAACAAAGCTCTACTGTAAGGATTGAGAATGTGAATACAAATACATCAAGGATTTTCATAGAAAAGCCGCTTAGTGGGAGATACGAGGTTTATGCAGAAAACAGTCTTGGGAGAGATTCCACGTCGACTAAACTGTTAGTGGAACGTATTAGTGAAAGCCAGCAAGACACAGTTCACTATTCACTTCAAGCTGAAATAGCTATGGCTCCAAAAATTGTGGAGCCATTGCAGTCAGAAACAATAATCAGTGATGGTCAGAGCGAGTTTTGCCTCTCTGTAACATTTACTTCAAAATTACCAGTCAGTTATCAGTGGTTTAAAAGTGGAAGTCTTTTAGCGAATAGCATAGAGCATCAAATGACATTTGAGAAAAATAGAATTTCGTTATTTGTTCGAAAGCCTGTCACTGAACCGACGGTTTATGAAGTCAGGGTCACTAATTCTGCTGGTAGTGATGTATCACGGACGTTAGTTCACAAACAGTACGCAGAGGAACCAAAGGTACCTGAAGGGGCACCAAGATTTAAGAAAATATTTAAGTCGCTGAATATAGAAGAAGGATCTCGGATGCATATAACGGTTACGCTTGACGACAAGACCATGGCTAGCCGGTTTACTTGGTATTTAAATGGGAAAAATTTGAGCGATTTAGAAGGTTGCCACATAATTTCAAGTTCTCGGGAATCTTCCTTATCTATCGATAAGGTTAATTTAAGTACAAATGGCGAGCTATGCGTTGTAGCTAAAAACCAGTATGGGTCAGCTTTGTGCGCTGCCGACGTTTCCGTTATAAAAAGTTAGTTTTTTTTTAATACATTCGTACTCACTCTAACAAATAGTGTGTTACAAAGGCTTACGGTAAAAAAAGCGTTTGATCTTACTATATTACTAGAATCATTGAAAGTTATTTAAAACTCGTTTTTATCAGCGAAAAAATTGAAAGAGAATAAGAAGTTAAATTTAAATAAAAATTATGTCTGTTGTTATCGTTTGGCGAAGTGACGTCCGAAGGACAGAGTTTGTTAAAGGCTCTGCAAAACAGAACCGTAATAAAACGGAAAGATTGTTATCAGTTTGTAATTTATATTTTAAAGTAGAATGAGAAGTTTAAAAACATGATTATCAGTCTCTACTAATTATATGGAGTAAAATAACAATAAAAAAGCTGTTTTAGCCGAGAAAGACCTTGAGATAATACCAGCGATACCAGAAACCGAAAGACCTCCGAAAATACTTGAACCCTTACGTTCTCAAATGCTTATGCAAGGTTACCTTTCTGACTCTTTCTCAGCAGTTTTTAAAGTGTTTAATTTTTGATTAATTGTAAATATCAAGGCAGTTTTAGTGTTTATTAAAATAAATTACATCAAACCATTGGCAAGGAAACGGAGTAAGCATAACTTTGAGTTTCTTTTTTCTTGATATTTTGAAAATTTTAGCTTTTTGAAGCGGAATTAAGTTTTAACAAAAGAATATTCAATTTTAATTTTTTAGGTACGTACTTAAGGCTTCGATGTAAAGTAGACGCATTTCCAAGTCCTAAAATTATTTGGAAAAGAAACGACATTGACGTTACTAACTGGGCCTTCACAAGAAATTTGTCTACAAGGTTTATTTTCAGCCTTTAACTGTATCATTACGAGCCTTGCTGTGCATGATTCTGACACTTCTTTTTCTAGGGCAACGGCAGACGGAGTCGCTGAGTTATGTATCCCATCATGCCTTATCAGTGACTCAGGTATATATCAATGCTACTTTGAGAATAAACTTGGTACTGCAGAGACTGCCGCTTATATTGGTATAGAAGGTATGTAATTACGGTTTAAATAACCAATTTGTTTACCGTTTGAAACTTATACTCATTTCTAAAGCTTCTCATTTTAAGCGCTATTCTTGCTACAGTTAATCAGCTGTTTAAATTTTGTAGTTTTTCCGAGGTATAAATTTTTTTAAGCTTTCTTTTTTTATCAGAATCACTGGACATCTCTGTTTCTTTTTATTTTTTACCAAGGCAGAAAGTGTTCCTAATATTATCTGATTTTTTTATCTGGTAGAACAGTAGTTCCTTTCTAATTTTTATAGTGAACGTTGCAACAGATACATATAAAAATCTCTGAATTTAAAACTTGCATAGAAGAATCAAACCTCTCCAGCACTCGCTTTATTTTTTTCATTATAAATTTCACGAACAAAAGCGAAGAACAAGTGGGGAATTTTTTTCGATGAAATTTATGAATGGCAGTAAAAAAATCAAGTTTTTTACTAGACTATTCAAATTTATTTTCGTTAATAGAGGATGAGTTGTAACCGCTAAGTGGTTTAATGCTTAGACGGATGTAAAGCAAAATGAGCCGAAAATCCAATAGTGAAAAAGCCTGTTTATGCTATCAAAATCAAGTTAAAAAATCTTTTGTTCAACGCCATGACTCAGGTAGGCAAAATTTAAACTACAGTTTTATGAGCTTTGTCATTTAGTGACTTTTTTTTTGAGAATGAAAAATATCTGATGAGTGAATAAGTAAAGTAGTAAAACTTAAAGGTTATGAATCCTTGTACTGTCAGCTTAAGTAAGAAATGGCTTGGCCTTCGTGCGCCTGCAAGTGCATCTGTTCGCTAAGCTCAAAATTACGAGTTATTCTAAACTAGTTTTGCCAAAGCAGTTTAAATAAGACAGTTTGGCAATTTATTTGTTGCATTAAGCTTCCTTTCTTTACTCTGTTATAAAATTTATTTTTTAACTATGCATCATATTTTTATTAACTTAGAAAGTCAACAATATTATTTCTAGTATCTCCTCCCGCTTACACAAGCTGAGAATTCTATTAGGTTTAAGAAAACTAGGCATATTCTTATAGTATCTCTTTCATTTTTCAACTATAAAAATACCCTTTTTGATCAATTATCTTATGTATTTACAGAAGCATTCCGCGAAGAAGAAGAGGAAGAATATAAAGAAGAAATAGTAAGTTGCTTTCTTGTGTAGCAAAAAGTCACTACAATTTCGCTTTTAATCGTTTAGTGTAAGCAAAAGAATTAGTTTTGAAAAATGAACTTATGCTTGAGCTAACAGTTGGTCTTACAATTCTGCCTATAAAGGTTTCCTTTTAGTAGCTTTGCTGTGCTTTGAAGTAATTCGTCATGTATTAAATTGAACTGATCTATTTTAGATTCAAGAAGTGGTAGTGCAGCCGAGATTTTTGGAAACAATAAAGATTGACGTAACAGAGAAGAAGGCGACTTTGATATGTAAGTGCTCAGTGTCGGATGTTACCGCCACTTGGTTTAAAGATGGAAGAGTACTTGAACAGGAGGAGAAGTACGAGATAAGAACCTCGTCCGATGGCACTATAACACTGTGCATTAATGATATTTCAACCACTGACCAAGGTTTGACATTTCTTGCCCTATAAAGTGACTGTATATATTTATGCTTGGAGATTAAGGGTTCCTTCGAGATTGCAGAGTTAGCGGATCAATTAGAAACCTTACCTGGAATTAGTCAGCAAATTATTTTCTCCTGTAACTTTAAGCTGATGGCTTAAGTTATAATTATATTATACGACAGAAGCGACGTGAAAAATCGTTGCGATTCAGTCCTTGAGTCTGAAAATAAGCTGCTCTCACTCGTTCTGGATTGGTTTCTGCCTGAGTTTTTAAAAAAGCACAAATTTAAACAATTTCTAGGACTTCTCAAAGCAAGGGTAACGGGAGGTAAACCATGTAATAAACCATAGGCGAACTAAGCCTCAGCTTTTAAATAGGAATCTAACTAAAAAACTGCAAGCTTTTTCAAAGAAACTTTCTTAAAAAGAAAAATTAAGGTGAAACTTTTTGATTAAAGAGCGGTTTGAAGGCATATTTGCAACGTTTATCAAAACTGAGCAACAGAGACTAAAAAGTCTAAGTTATCTAACTTGAAATCGAACACCCACCTATATCCCTTTCTCTTCAACAATTAGCATCAGATACTGAGTTTCTTGACTGCTTTTTAACATACTGCCTCAAGATACGAATGCTAACAAAATCCAAGAAAATGTTTGAATTTTTTTGCTTTATTTTGCACAGCTTTAATATTTATGAAGATTTAACTTTTCTTTGCTTACGAATAACTCAGTAAAATTAGGATTATATGCCTGCCGAGTTGAAAACAAACAAGGTTTTGCTGAAACTTCGAGCAATTTAACTGTAACCAAAGATGAGCGTGAAACCAATATCCAAGAAGAATTACTAGTTGAGGAACAGTCTGATGAACTAGTCGGACCATTACCTCCACTTGAATACACCAAAAAGGTTTACTTGCTTTTTTGTGCACCTTTATAGGATGCTACTCTTGAAAATTATTTGTTACTTTATTCAGTCAGTGACTGTGAAATTATAAATGCTTTAATGTAAGATAAATTTTTTTACAGACATACACAGACATTTCAACTAGAGTACTGAAGAAGGAAGAAAGTGAAAGCTTAGAGAACTACAGTAAAACAGCAGAACTTAAAAAGGCAGAAGGTTTGTAAAAAAAAAGGTGTTGTATTCAGTTTCAATATATTAACGTGTTCTAGCACTGAACAACATTTTAGAAGAGTATAAGCTTCTCGTCAAAGTTGCTGATATTGTTGCTAAGAGGTTGGTTGCCAACTTTGTTATTGAAGAGGCTGTGAAAGAGGCAGTGAGAAAAATTGACGAGGAATTTTTGAGCGAAGAAAGAGAAGTGACAGTATATTCTTCCGCCGTTGAAGAACCATATGTAGCACCAAAGTAAGCTTATTTTGATTCCAAGTTCTGAATTTTGTATTTTATGCTTTACGGAGATTGACAGTAGCGTCATTAAATAATTTCTTTTCTCAGAGGTTTTATTTAAAAAAATAAAATGAAATAAATTTTGCTGTGCAGAAATAAATTTAATTCCTGCCTGAAAACTTTTAGAAGAAGAGCTTATAATGGGCTTCAAGTACGTCAAATTTTGATAGGTTAAACAAGTGTAGTTTACATTACCAGTCTCTTGCATGTATACTTTCAAACTAGCGACGCCATTTTTTGTAGAAGTAATTAAGAATTACAGCAGGTGTGGGGAGTCGGAGGGAGGGTCGAGGAGAAAGAAAGAATTATACGATTAGTGTTCTTGATTCTTACGAAAGACAGAGTAGGACGTTTCAAACTGCTTTTGCACTTCTAATATAAATATGCATTTAAAGGTTTGTAACGGACGTTCAATTTTACACTGCGAATGCCGAGAATACCGTAGAGCTGGTAGCTGAAGTCAGCGGTGTTCCACAGCCGGCAGTGAATTGGTACTTCGGGAATGAAAAGATAGAAAACACTAGGTTTTTTAACAGTCTCTTCCTCTTAGCATTATGAACTAATTACGAAGAAAATTGCGAGTTTGTTGTACTGTTGGAGACAAGAAAGATTGGATTGTGTTCAGATAAAATGTTAATAGTTGAGAAAAGATGGTATTTGTATACTCATGCGACTAAATTTTTACATTGTAGCACTTCCGAAGTAGTTGTTAAAGACGACCGCTCATTCTTAACGTTAAGGAATGTTGGAAAAGCTAATGAAGGGATCTATTATTGTGAAGCCGAGAACATAGCAGGCAAATCAGTATTTACTTGCAATCTTCGTGTTAATGACATAGAGAAAGGCAAGTGGCTACGATAAATGGTAGAAGAATT